CTGTTGTTTTTGAATAATTAGCCTGTACACTCACTCTATTGTACATAATGAGTATTTCTGGCTCTTTGTTAGCTCCATGAGCTCTTGGATTTTGGAGTCTTCCAGACTGTTGCCCATCAGATGCAGCTCTGCCAGATGTTCAGGGTTTGACTTCAGAGCAGAGATCAGGAACTGAATGCTCCTCGAGCTCAGACCACATGTCCGCAGCCTGGTGACAAACAAAGCAAATACATAGGATCTCCCTCAACAGCCCTGGCTCGGTTGCATGAAAGCAGGTTAAATTAAACCCAGTCAAGTTACCATGGAGATTTATTCTGTGCAGCTAAACCTGGATTTTCCAGTTATAAGGGGTGAAATTAGCCCCGACTCAGTTGCATGAAAGACCCCTCGCAAGAACCACGTAATGTTTACAGCACCAGACCCTTCCGTTAGCTCAGTATTCTTATGGGGCATTCACACGTGGAGACAAATCACTAGGCCTTTACTGAGTTTGATATTTCTTCAGGTGAGAAAGTAATCACTTAAACTGTGAATATGTAGTCAGTCTATCCAAGTAATGCCAATTTGGAAATTTGCTGTGATGTTTTCAGAACTCTTAGGCCCTGCTAGTAGACCAAGCTAACTCTCCTTGGCTACATCTCGTTCAGAGCAGAATCAGCAAGGACGTCGGTCTTCCAGTTGCACATTAAGAGCATTATGCCCTCCCGTCCTCAGGAGTTTGCACTTCAAGTTCGGACATACACACTTACTACAATTGCCTACTGCAATTGTGAGCAAGCTATGCAACAGGACATGGACTAAAGCACACATGCAGCAGTACACAGTATGGCATACAATCAGAAGACATCTGTCCCATAGACATATGTTATGATCTGTACAGTCAAAGCATCTAAAAACGTGGTCAACACGCAAAATCAGCAGATCCCAGCAAGTCAAGAAGAGAAAAAGGAGCAAGAGACCAGACAAGAGTGCAGATCAGACTGGCTTCTACTCATTTGACGAGAACTAAAAATAACCTCGTTAGAATTACTAACTGTTAATAGCTACTGTTCTGTCCTGTAGAGATCTGCAAAAACACCGCCACCACAGCAGAGTGTACATATATGGTAATGTTATGAAATACTTCAACATAGGCTGCAACCCTGTCGATGTCATCCCCTGTCTCAGATTTCTAGTTGTTGTTTGTTTTTTTTTTCCAAAAGCAAAAAGTCATTTACCTCAGTTCCTCAAATAAATAAATTCATCTGCGGCCAACAACTTTGGTCAGGCTTTGTCACTATCAGGCGAACAAACCCATCTCAGCTAGCTTGTAATAAAGTACACTGCCCAGCGTCTATTATGTGCAACATGAGCCTGTATCATGTCACCAACAATGTTTCATTTGTCAGCGTAGCTGTAAATACGGGTCCAAGAGAGAACCAAGAAACAGAGGAACAGAGAGGAGAGGCAAGCAGTAGGCCTCGGCGCTCTCCGCAGCCCGTGGAGGGGGTGTCAGCAAGGCTGTAAAAACGGGCCTCAAAGAGCACCAAGATACAGAGAAGGCAGAGGAGAAAGAGGAAGTTCCAGGGACGGTTGGAGAAGACAAAGGAATTATTATTAAAATGCTATGGCAGAATGCTTAGAAAAGTTAAGCTTTTAATAAGTAAAGATAATCATAAGATGATTTATGTGTGTTTGTTGAAATAATCATTAGTACATGTGTAAGAATAAATTGTGAAATAATTGTATTAAAAGAATGGGGAGAAGTGATTTTACATCTAAAAGAGTGAAAAATGCAAGAATCACGGGAAAGAGGAAGTACAGTAGACATACAGTAGACACATCACTGCTGAAATGAGGAACTGATTATCCTCTGGTCTATTTGGGTCAGGTCTGACTGTTCCTAGGTTTCTCTCAGATTAGTTCATACTGATTTTGTTCATGTAAAAATAAGAATTCCAGCATTTGGACCCAGTGTTTTGTCCAATATGGGTCCTTGGTGTAATACTGACAATACTTCTATGAGCTATCTGACAACAAACAATAAGGTGATTTTATCTTGGGGAGTTATTTCTTTGAGTAGCGGTACAAAGACAAATAAATAACTTACGACAACAACTTAAGTTTACAGTGAGGGTTTCTGAGTCCCACGCAGAGTTTCCTTACTCCCTTATCTTGAAGGTCATTGCCAGAGAGGTCCAGCTCACCGATAATGCCCTGCTTGGATGAAATTCCTGATGCAAGCTGGGCACAGCAGTCATCCGTCAGACTACAGTGGCTCAGGCTGAAATTAAGCAAAAATGACTGTAGCAAACTGTTCTCCCAACAAAAGCTATTGTTATGAAGAACTCAGTTTTGGAAACGACTCACTTGAGAGTTTTCAGATGGCTGAGGGGATTCTTCAGTCCATCCGAAATTTCTTTGACTCCCATGTCTTCGAGGCAGTTCAGGCTGAGGTCAAGGTCTTGCAGCTCCACTGCTTGCCAGTCTCGTTTTTCCATCCATCCATTGCAGAGCTGCGAAATTGAACACAGGACCCTTGCCAAATAACCGCAGCCCAAACGAGTGATTCCACATCTTGAAACGCTGATGGGAAATAAAATAAAATGCCATTTATCTATGGTTTGGCATATGAAGAGATCAGTATATATTTTAGCAGAATCATCACCACCTTTATTTACTCAGGGAAAAGCCCAGCTGAGAACAAGCTCTTATTCTCAACGGTGCCCTGACATACAATTAACACCTCTGAAACAGTAACAGGCATATGTACACATGAATCAAAAAATATATTACATATCTATATCACAAATCAGGAAACATTAAAAATAATAAAATATATACCAAATAATCTATTACACTCACATTTAAATTGTAAAATACTATATAAAAGCAGTTTACATTGACTCATATATTTAACTTAGGTGCTGTCCATTTCTTCTGATCATCCCTGAGATGGTTCTACACCTTCATTTGAGTCCAGCTGTGTTTGATTATACTGATTGGACGTGATTAGGAAAGCCACACACCTGTCTATATAAGACCCTACAGCTCACACTGCATGTCAGAGCAAATGAGAATCATGAGGTCAAAGGAACTGCCTGAAGAGCTCACAGACAGAATTGTGGCAAGGCACAGATCTGGCCAAGGTTACAAAAAAAAATTTCTGCTGCACTTAAGGTTCCTAAGAGCACAGTGGCCTCCATAATCCTTAAATGGAAGACGTTTGGGACGACCAGAACCCTTCCTAGAGCTGGCCGTCCGGCCAAACTGAGCTATCGGGGGAGAAGAGCCTTGGTGAAAGAGGTACAGAAGAACCCAAAGATGACTGTGGCTGAGCTCAAGAGATGCAGTCGGGAGATGGGAGAAAGTTGTAGAAAGTCAACCATCACGCCAGCCCTCCACCAGTCAGGGCTTTAGGGCAGAGTGGCCCGACAGAAGCCTCTCTTCAGTGCAAGACACATGAAAGCCCGCATGGAGTTTGCTAAAAAAGTTGAGTCAAAGGAAGCCCTCATGCTGGTACTACAAATGTGTGGGTGAGTGCATGTGCTTTAGTGCACAGACATGCTGTGTTTGCTAGCATGTAGCAGAGAATGACAGATGTCTGTCCACACACTGCACGGTGAAATGCAGTCTGGGTTCAAACCCGGCTTGAGCACGGCCAGCTGCACAAATATAGTATTTTTTTGTAACCTTGGCCAGATCTGTGCCTTGCCACAATTCTGTCTCTGAGCTCTTCAGGCAGTTCCTTTGACCTCATGATTCTCATTTGCTCTGACATGCACTGTGAGCTGTAGGATCTTATATAGACAGGTGTGTGGCTTTCCTAATCACGTCCAATCAGTATAATCAAACACAGCTGGACTCAAATGAAGGTGTAGAACCATCTCAGGGATGATCAGACAAAATGGACAGAACCTAAGTTAAATATATGAGTATCACAGCAAAGGGTCTGAATACTTATGACCATGTGATATTTCAGTTTTTCTTTTTTAATAAATCTGCGAAAATGTCAAACATTCTGTGTTTTTCTGTCAATATGGGGTGCTGTGTGTACATTAATGAGGAAAAAAATGAACTTAAATGATTTTAGCATATGGCTGCAATATAACAAAGAGGGAAAAATTTTAGGGGGTCTGAATACTTTCTGTACCCACTGTATATTATATCGCCTTAGTCTATTACAGATAAAAAATCTTCATTTGTCCCAACTGCCTCTTATGATACTCAATAAAACAGTCTACTTCTATACAGAAATGAAAGTCTAGGTTTTAATGAAGCAGTTAATTTCTGAAGATGCATTTTAAAAAACTCAGCTTGCCAAAAACCAAAAACCAAGATATTGAAAAGGAACAGACTTTGTCAATGAATGTAGCTATATCTAAATTTAAATGACCAATTTGACATTGTTATGTAGTAAAACTTTTTTTATAGAAATTTCACATCAGATCAAGATCAAGAAGATAAGATAAGATGAACAATGTTAAAGTCAAGACTGTAAATGCTGAAAAGCCTGATCAGTGGAGGGAGCCACTGTATAAATAGCCATATCATCTGTATATAAATGCATAGTATTGTTAATTACTTTGGATCCTAAATTATTAAAAATTATGACTAAAGTGGGGCCCAAAAGAGCCAAAGTTGACAGTGCAAAATAAAAGTCCTTTCCCAGTACTTTTATTTCTCTTTGTTTCAGTCAGTAAGTAATCAAAGAGAGGGAGTATCCTTACTTGAGTTTTTTCAGACTACACCATGCATACATGCCTTCGCAGATGACTGCAAACCCTGCATCTTTCAAGCTGTTGTTGCTCAAATTGAGTTCTGCCAGGGAGCTGTCTTCAGATTTCAGAGCCTCCCCAATATTTCTACAGCTTAGAACAGTGAGGCCACAGTGGTACACCCTACCAAAGAGATATGAAGAGATTCCAAATGTCACATGATTAATGATAGCTATTCGTTTATGAAGACGTGCAGAGCTTAATGCATTTATATTAAGCCATACTCACTCCAGCCTCCTTAGCTGTGATATATCAAACTTTTCAAAGATCTCATTGGCTCCCTTGTCTCCAACCATATTAATGCTCAGATCCAACTCAGTCAGGTGGCTGGAGTTGTTCTGCAGAGCTGAGGCCAGATAATAGCAGCCCATCTGCTCAATGTTGCACTGTGACAATCTACGGTGACAACGAAATGCCGTGTTAGCAACGGCCAAATAAAAAGAACAAGAATTCTCAAAAAAGATTAATCAGTTGCTTTGCAGTTTTTGTGGTTAAATCTCAAAACTCGCTTCTCATTCCTTTGATACAAACTTTGAGTGTTTATTATTTCACCTGTACAAAACAAATGGTCTTATGTGTGTCATTTTCTTTTGATTAGCATTTTTAGTGGAAATAAATGTTACTCCATTAAAATGACAAACATTCCACATTTCCATATGAATTTGATATTAAAAATAGGGCACAAACATGTAGGTTAATTTCACAAGACTTACTTAAGTGTTTCTAACTTGCATTTAGAAGATCTCAGGCCATT